TAACCGTGTTGGATATTATTCTGCAGCGCTCAAGCCGATACACACACAGATCAAACCCCGACTCAGCACGTCAACCTCTACGTAGAGTCTGGCTGAAGAATAAAACATCAGTAGCAGATAAACAACATTATCAACGTCACTGCTGTTGTGTGGCAGTTGCACTTTATAAGAGAAAATATGACCCCACTTTTGGCAAATACACAAAGAGCAATACAGTCTCCCTCCGGCATGATCCTCACACGTTCATTAAGGATGCAGTAGCAAAAAAAAAAAAAAAAAAAGAAACCCAGAAGGGATATGAATACTGACATAAATAATGTATGATCTTTTTTTTTTTTTTTTTTTTGCTTTTAGCTACAGCAAGATGTGAGTTCTGGAGGCTGTGTGTTTAAAGGAGATTTAAATGCCATTAATCTCCCTCTTTTTTCACCACTGCTATTAAAAAGCAGATCATAGCTACCTCTAACTCTGAGGTAAAAACGTTTCTAGGCAAAGACAGCATCTCTTGATTTACGGTTGTGCAATGTCCAACGCCCGACACAAATTCAATACGTCACAAAGACGACGCCAAGTCAGCCTTCATTCGTTTTAATCTAGTTCCGTTTGAAATATATTACATACAGTACAACAGTTTGAAATGATACGTGTAAAAAAATAGATGTCATCTTTCAATACAGGACCAGAGAACAAAAGGAAAAGGAAGAAAAAGAGAAAGAGGGAAACAAGTTCTCTTCATGTAGCAGTTCATGGTAAAGAAAAGCTGCTGCAGAGCAGTGCAGATTAAACACAAATTTAATAAATTTGAATATTCCAATGAGGCAAGTCAAATTAAAAGTGAAGTTCAAAAATAACATTTTAATGACGATTAAACACACTTTTCATTAAGCCCCACATTCCCGTGTGAACGCTGTTCCTGTTTTTTATTGGTTGGACATGATAATCTAATCTTAAGTGTTTTCATGTAGCTGTGAGCAGAAAACCGTAATGAACAGAAACAACGGTTCAAACACAATCTGTGTGTAGTTAATCACAATGTGTTTCACCTAGTGAAATGAATAAACTTTTTAATAATATTGAAATTTGCTGAATGTTCAAAAAAACTCATTAATTTCAGGGTTTTTTTACATTTATTTATTTAATAGCACAACTCAAGAGATTTGATTTTTTTCCTGACTGCAGACTCAAAACGACTGGCCTGGTCTTACAAAGCTGAAGATTCAATTCCACCTTCCACTTGTCAGTGTGCCTCTGGGCAAGGCACTTAACCCCAAGTTCCCTACTGTGGTGTATGAGTGTGTTTGCTCATAAATGTGACTCTGGTGTGAACCTCTTTGAGTGGTTGAAATGATTAGAAAATCACAATTGGCTGCACACATCCAAATTCAGCATAGTTTTTCTGTCATCAGGAAAATTATGCAAAAATACTGAGCTGAAAGAACTTGATACTTACACAGTTACTCGCATCATTTTGAGAAGCTTACTAAGTGATCGCTGTGGTGGTAGATTTAACTCATTTAAACCATTGCTGCACTGATGATCGGTCAGAGAGTTGGTATGTGGATCCCCTTGATTATTTTCTAATCATCTGAAACACACTGAGTTCCACAGCACATCAACATGTGAAGATTTTCAAAGTCAAGCTAGCATGGCTGACCTGCTTCCGTGAGTATATATTTTTCTAAATAAAACTTTGACCTAAAACTTACCCTGTTGTCTCGTTGTGAAAATTTTGACATTTAGTAGCAAAACCGCATCCTTTTTACTTTTACATATCATGCGTACATTTAAGATTCAGTGAGACGTATTGACAGTTTGATAGTTAAAACATGGTTTTAGCCATTATCAAACTAACCTCATCACCAGAGGTTAGTTTGATAATTGGAACACATTTAATCCCATTAGTTGTGGTTGATATGTATATTTGAGCCTGTATGTTCAAACTTTACAGATCAGAATGAACACGTCAAATTCAAATCAAGGATCCATTTCGTTCCATCTTTTTAAAATCATTAAAACGATAATTTGTATCTTTGTTATTTTTCAGACAAAGTAAAAAACCCAATTCAAACACATTTTTCAAAAAGTCCCAAATTCTCTGGCATTCATGCCAACGATCTGACAGAATGTATGAACTCAGAAGCATAAAGCTGGAAGCTGTATCACAGATCATGACATGTGAAAGGAGAGCCATTTCAATCGCTAATAACATTTTTCTTTTCTTATTTTTTTTATTCTTTTGTCCATGCTTCACTGGAGGAAAGCTCACATTTGGAGCCAGACACCAATCATCTCATCCATCAGCTTCCAGAGTTCACAACAGCCTGTTCTGCCGCTGCGTCTTTCTCCCTGACCGACACACGAGGAGGGAACGATTTCAAATGTTCGACTGACTCGTGCGCACAGGAGGCTCTGTACGGACCGAGCTTTTCTAGCAGAGAGTGCTGTGCGCAGCAGTTTCCTGACATGCAGTTGAGGAATTTATACAGCTTTTGTTGTTCTCCCCTTCGCCCCCCCAGATGTAAATCTGGCTATAAATCTGCAGCGTGCAACTACTTTTTCTTGCCATCTTATCTCAAATAAAGATCAAGACGGTTATTTTTCTTCCTGAAGCATCAGAAGAGCCGGTGCACTCGGACACAGGGAGGTTTTATTTCCTGTGATAACAGGCCATGCAGTGACATTGTGTGCTAATAGCTAAATAAAGGACTGGCGGTCATGTAGAACGCCACGCGGGCGGCCCAATTTTGATCAACACAACCTCGGCAGTGGGGATCCGATCGGCGCAGGTCACCGAGTCCTTCATTAAAATGAAAAACGGCGTTCCAGGAAAAAACAATAGGCTCTGTCGGGAGGTGGTAGACTTTCTAATTTCATTTCAGAGACCACATGTCAGGAGGAAGTGAGGAGGGAGGCTGGGGTTTGAATTTGCAGAGCGAAGCCCGGTCTGAGGGCAAACACGGAGCAGTTGGAATGACAGAGGAACGGAGGCCTGCAAACCCGTCACTACGTGTTTAGCGACATCTTGTTTCCCTGAAGTTTATTTTTTTAAATCTTTGATACTTAGTCCTTTAGTTTTTGTGCTTGTTGCAACATCAGTTGCCCAATTTGTGATAGGAATAAATCTGAAGAAAGCCGGTGTCATGTAAACATTTGCCTCTTTATTGCACCGAGTCATTTCAGCGTTCAAGCTAATCCATCATTAAACAACGCTCAGGGACGTGGAAAAGCCTCCGCTGGCTCCGGCGTTCAGAAACCAGGCGGCGCGAGATGAGGAGTTCAAGCTTTCTGTCTTAAGAGTTGAGTACAGCTTTAAGTCAGCCCACCAAATCTGGAGACCAACATTTCTGCCTATTTTTCTTTTGCAAAATATCTTAATTGGATTCATTGGATGAAGAGTGTCTGTGAAATTCAATTTTCAAGGTTTCCTGCAGATTCTCAACTGGATTCAGTTCTGGCCTTTGACTGGACCGTTTGATGTTTTAACCTGAACCTTTCTAGGAAAATGAACCAGAGTTTGGTTAAAGTGGACAAAACAGGACTGGTTTTATTTTTGGAAACTATGTCAGCTTTGTGTTAGTCTCCACTTCAGCTGACATCGACTTCAACGATATCAGCTGCGCAGCGTGACCATCCAGATTTATAACCAGAGCTCCATTTCAAAATGCCAATAAAATTTGCAGAGATTAGAGATTGTACCGTGGGAAGACGTGAAGATCGGCACATGCTATCAGAGGCATGTTTGCTCTGCTCAAGCGCAACCGGCAACCAGGTTCGCAAAGAGCAAGTTTCCCCCGGAAGCAGTCGCCGTTTGTGCGAGCTGACAATAAAGATCACACAGGGGTAACCGTGGAACAGCTGCAGCACTGGAAGTTGGGGGAGCGCAACATCAGGGGGTGGAGAACCAATTGAGATCCTCTATACCTCTAGGGGAAGATGTTGTTTTACTGGTGTCAAGAGCGAGGCAAACACAGACCAATTTGCTGGGAGGAAAAACTGTGTCGGAGAAGAAAACAAAAACAAACAAAAAAGAAAGATGCAGCAGACCTGGCCCATTCTTCACTGTGCCGTCTAATCTCAGCTCTTAAAGAAGATGGCTGGAAACAAACTCTGCTCTGCTGTCAGCGGGCCTGGCTGAACGCTCGGCTCTGGTGAACAAGCCCACTGAGTCACAAACTCAACCAGGGGGCTGATGAAGCAGAAGATGTTTGGTTTGATTCAGTGACTCAGGAAAGAAAAGCTGCTGTGAGGTCATTGTGATGAGATATTAATTTAAGCATACATCGACGAGCAACATTAAGCAACAAGTGAGTGTTAAGATTACACAACACTAACCTCCATCCCCTTGATGTGGCCGCTTACCTTTGAATGCCCACCGACTCACGGTGCTTATTTTGGCACTTCTGACTTAAAAATAACATGCAATGTGTATGAAACATGCATGTTGAGTGAGACAATGTGTTAGTTTGTAGCAGTAGTGGGCATTGCTAACTAAAAGGTTAGCTACTCTACCTCTAAAGCACTAATCCTGAGCATCAGCTCCATTAATGCTAAAGCACTATCTCAACACAGTATTTAGTGGAAGCTAATGGCAAAGCGTTATGCCAATGTGGCATTTAGCAGAAGCTAATGCTAAACTAAACGCGGCTATGTTGATACTCAAAATGTGTCACCAGCTGCGTTTCCGTTACAAATGCTTGCAAAATTTTGTAAATATTCTGCTAATGTAAAAAAAATAAATAAAAAAATAATTGAAAAATACAATTTTGGTGTTTCAATTGAATAGGAAACGTCATTAAAATAACTTTTATATCATGTGAATGACTTACTGCGTTATGTTTTCGCAATAAGACATTTACGGTCATCAAAACGTTGAACAAATTAAAGACATTTTAATGGTCGATGACCAAAACTAATGCCAATGCAAAACAGATTAAACACAAATGCCTAATGTTATTCAACTGAAAGTTTACAAAGGAGCCAAGAAAATCAGCACATTAGAATGTTTCTGGAAACATTTATTGACGCAAAGCTAACTATGCTAAGTACGCTAAGCGCTAAATGAAAAATTCAGCTCTGCTGGCAGATTAGTGGAAGTGTGCACACCACTAGGACCAGATTGAAACAGCACAGACCAGTCGCTCTGAACAGTAAGGGAAAGTTTGCAGAAACTGGGCCTTGAAAACACATTAAAGTCAATCTGAAGCCAAACTGTCAGCTGCTGCCAGGACTGTCTGATACATGTTTGAGCATTTTGTTGTGTTTGGATTATTTTACATTACATGCCCTCCTGGTTTCTATTAATCAGAGTTATACACTATTATGATTCAATAGCTACAATTACTGTGGGAGAATCTGTTGCCCAGTTTGCTTTAGCCAAACTGGGGTCCATCTTTTTCGAATTTTTGATGTTGTTAATGTTGGCATTATCGCCACCTGTTGGTGCAGCATTGGTACAACATTTTAATTTTTCAAACAGACATTTTGTCTTTTGTTTTTGGAAAAACAAAAAACATGTCTGTTTAAAATGTATCAAGAGTTTTGCAAATGGGACATGTGTACACATGTGATATGGTCTGCATATACACAGAATTACATCCAAATCCCTCCACGTCCTCTGAAAGCTTAACTTGTTGCTTAACTTTTTTTTTTTTGTCAGTGAATGCATGTTTTCACTGGGATGGCAAAAAACAAAAGAAAAAAAATGCTTCTGAAATTCTTTTAACAAATTTATAATGTAAAAAACAAAGTCTGATTTGTGGAAGTGGAAAACTGCCAAACAGGCAAAAGAGAATTAAAACAAAATCATGTCGTAAAGAGAAAATAATTTAAATAATTGGCTTTCCATGTTTTTACAACATACTGTCATGCTATTGCAGTACACCCATCATGTTCTAACAATGTGTCACATTATACATTTCTAATGTTATAACAAAGACCATTCACATTAAAATTGGTTATATTAATTTGTTGCGCAAATGTCAAAAAGACATTGTTTGAACAATATGTTTCCTTATTAGAAAATAAGACATTTCACATTCTGACACACCATAAAGCGTTACACCCATGCATATATAAAAACTTCAGTTTGGCAGGAGTCAAGATGCCACATTCATTTGGGGTAAGTTTTGTCTTCGTACCTGTGTGACAACACAACCTGTTTGAATTTAGTTCAGATGGGTCATTGGCTCAATAAGGAATGTTTTTAGATTATAATGTGACATATCTCTATTTCCTTTTGCACTATGTTTCACTATAACCAACTCACTGAAGACCCATTAGGAAAATTCATAATTCTTTTCAACAAGATTGGGAAATATGAACCTGGTAGATTTATAGTAGTCTGATCAAAAGCATAGTAGCTGACAAAGAAGATATACACTTTGCCAGATTTATACACAATTCTATATTAATGAAATTATTAGTTAAATTTGCTTTGAATCCTAAAAAAAGTCCTTTAGATTAGAAGAAAATGATGCATCAATAAAAATGACTTCTTGGCATTTCACTTTGGCGCTTTAAAGATTTCGAGAGAGGTGAAAATCTGAGCATTTTTTTAATGCCAACAAATCCCACGGACAATACCAGAGCAATACAATTTCTACTTCTAGTACTTTGTGTTAAAAAACCAACTGGGAGTCGTCAATGACGACGAGGAGACTAACAAATTTCACATATATATATATATTTGCTGTAGTCATCTGTAAGTCTTTTCCCTTTTTCTCTTCCACAACAATAATTGCATTTCTATTGGCCACATGACTGTGCAATTTGAAATTTAGAATATAAATTTACTTAATGGGATAAAAATTTTCTGCAGTACAATGAGGAATCCAAAGAAGGCATCAGCCGTATCCAAATTGGTTTATTTGTCAAAACTGCAATAGAAGGATTTTTTTGCTTCAGACACATCACATAAATCAACAATTAGATGTTAGGCGTTGACCAGGAAGAAGAAGACGACAGGAAGTAGTTGAATAGTTGGCTTTTTTTATAATGACTTATTGAGTGAACAAACTTATTCATGAGTGATTTTTGTTGAACAGAAACGGAGCAATTGCAAAATTGTGTTTTTTTTTTTCCACATTAGCAGACTATAGACAAAGGTTTTGTGCACATTTGTAATGGAAACGCAGCTAATGATGTGCTAGCAGCAGTTAGCCTAGCATTTAAACCAAGAAGTCAGAATTTCTTAGTTCAAATTCACAGAAACCCCCCCCCAAAAAAACTCCCTCCACCTAACACACACGACACACACCTTCATTACCAACACAGAACAATTGCTGCAACTTTGTAATGTTGCGCAGTCGACACTTTACGTGAACGCACACGCCACATTCTTAATGTGGCGGCCTCTCCCACAGACTGGACTCCACTGCAGTCAGCAAGTTGTGTCAGATTGAAATATTTCAAATCAGCTGCATCACTGGTTCAAACCTCTTGACCATCTCCGCTTCCATTTTCGACCAGATATTTTCCTTCAGTCACAAAGCAAAAGTAAACTTCCCTCTGACTCGACTCCTGTTGGTTCATTCAGATTATCAGGTTGGTTTTCATCAGATTTTGACCCAATCTGAAGAAAGAACAATGAGACCAAGAACAACTTTGTTGGTCTTGCTTTGGATTTTTTTTTTTTACCAATAGTTGCTTGAGATGATGTTCAGAACTTTATTTTAGTTAAGAATAAAGTCCATCATTTTTCTAACATTGATGCATTCATGTGCCATAAAAAAGGTTGCTCCTTTTGTCACTTGCCCAACTCCTCTGTGGTTATTACTGGTCTCTATTTCCATTGGATCTTCTCTGGTAGTGGGTTATAATTATAGCAGGAGTATTGAAAAATAAATTCAAAAAGAAAAAAAAGTTTTGTTTAGATGATCATTTCTTTGTTGTGACAATGTATCTTGGCAATAAATCGTTAAAAAAGTCTCATTAAATGTGAGAATATGTTTGTCTGTTAAGTAGCAGGGAAAATCATTCCTATCAATGCCAGACAACTTCGACACAGGGTAACACTAAGAAAACTAGAAAAAATGTAATCACGAGAATAAAGTCATATTATTGTGACATCAGTATGATAATATTTAATAAAGTCATAATATTACATGAATAAACTCACAAGCATGAAGTTATAAAATTATGAAAATAAAGTTATAGTTTTACAAGAAAAAAATCAGAATACTACAAAAGTAGTCATAGTGGTACAATAATCTCATAAAGTTATGACTTCTCAAAATATTATGATTTTCTTCTTATATTGGCATTATTATATTATGTAGACTGTATTCCTGTAGTATGATCTCATTCTTGTAATATTCCGATTTTATTCTTGCATGAGTTTATTCACGTAATGAGATTATTGTCGTAGTTAAATTTTTAAAAATGTTTTCTTTGTATGGCCCTGATACTTGTTGTAAACAACCAATTCTGGTGTTGACATTTAAAAAACAAGACACACCATTAATTAAGAGTGCATCCATTTAACAAACAGGCGCCTCTGCAGTGGATGGGTGAACTGAACACCACCACACCTTCTCTTCATGATCGTCACCAGCCTCATCACACAGTGTTATGCCATCTCATCCCATTTCTCCACCAGTGTTTGTCATAAGTCAGTCAACCGGCTTGTGATGGTCCCACAAGCAGCAAACTGAAATCTAATTCCCATGAGAGTCCAATGGAGGACAGACTTTGACCTCAAACTGTTCAGATGCAAAATAGCCAATTTGTGTCAGAACCTCATTTTGATCATCATCTGGCTCAAATGGTGGCCAGACTATGTATTTTCTATGACGTAGTTACTGCCACACCACCTCGGAGAGTCTGACAAATTTTTTCTGTGCTCATCCTCAAAATCAACCTCAAGCTTTCACTTTAAGAGGAAATAGTCAGACTTTCCAAATTCTGGCTTAACAATAAAAGTTATAGTCAAGAAGCGCTGGCACAACAAAGAAAATGCTCAACAAAACCATAGATTACTCACTTTTACGCTACGTCTCTTTCCTGTGATCAGATGTTGGTAAAGTATGGTTGTTATACGAATACTACCATATGAAGAATAAGCTATGATTATTCAATACATTGAGGTTAGATCAGAAATCCTTTAGGATGACTGAAGATGGTCCACTAAAGTTACGTTTAAGTATAAAAACACAGACGGATTTGGCAAGAAGAATCAATAAATACATACAAAATGAATAAATTAAACCTAGAAAACACATAATAATAATAGTAATAAAATTGGACTGTATGGGTTACTAAGAGAAGTTGTGTGTAGTTCTCATTGGCTGGGCGGTTGTGTAGTCCATAAACTGATACTTCTGATAATGAGCCATTCTTTTTGGCTGGCTGTCACCACAATGCGAACGCACTCAATGTCAAACGAAATCTTGTGGTCCACATCTTGAACCTCGATGTTTCCGTTTTTAAACTCTCCTAACGTGATGTAAGAGGAGCACTGCTTTCCTTTCTTAGTCCCGACCAACTTCTCTCCTACTTCCAGCGCTCCGTGATGAAGGAAGTCGCTTTGTCGGTCGTCAGACCCGGTAGCAATCCTAATTTTGCTAATTTTGGTTGATTTGTTAAAGACTATGACGAAGAAATCTCCGGTGGAGGGAGGTTTCCCCCAAAAGTACTCGTCCACCGTGCTGTACGCCTTGGTGGCGTCGTAGTTCTCAAAGACGTTGATGTTGGTGTAAATGCCAGCCGGGGGGTTGTCCGGGATGTCTATGGAGTCCTCCTCGAAGTCGTCGTCCTTCAGTTTGTTCTCCACGCCTTTGTAGGACGAGTAGTAGCCCATGTGCTGGAACAGCGAGGGCTTGAAGCGGATCACGTCCTTTTGAGCCAGCAGGCCCCGGAAGTGGATGAGGAGCCAGTCGCAAGGCATTTCCTGGTAGAACATGAGGAGGAAGTGAGCCAGGCGGGGCAGGTCTCTGGAGTGGTACAGCTTCCCGATGTAACCCAGCTTGGAGAACTCCATCATCACCCAGTAGGAGCCTTCTCTGGAGGTTATCACCTTCTTCAGCGCTGTCAGGAAGTTCCGGGAGCAGCGCACGTCGTCCTCCAGCATCATGTAGAAGTGCGACAGATTGGTGCAGAAGTTCAGGAGGAAAGCGTAGTCGACGTTCTGCTTGGAGCGGAAATGGACTCTGTCCTCCGGGTCGTTGTAGTTCCTCTTCAAGCCATCCAGAGAAGGGTAGAAGTCCTCTGGGGCCTGGATGACCAGGAGGCGTCCGGCTATGATGTGGTGAGCGAACTTCCTGGTGATCTCCTGCACCACGTTCTCACACCAGACCAGGTCAAAGTCCGCCAGGTGGACCACAACCACAATCTCTTTCAGCTCCTCGTAGCTGGACTGGTCAAAGATGGATTTGATCGTCTCCAGGAGGTAGTTTCCCCTTTTCCTCTTGACCGATGACAATCCAATGGTCAGGAACTCTGCGAATAAAATGTGAAAACATATTTTAGTGAGTGAAGTAAATGTAAAGCAATGCTGCCGTTCAGATCTGAGGTATCTGTAAAATTATTCCCTGATGAAATCTGGAGAAGGGAGATGAGAAATGATGACTTACAAACAGAAGACAGTTTATGTATGTGAGGACAGTTTAAGAGACATTGCTTAAAGATTACCATTGGGGAAAAGCAACAGCACCCCAAGAAAAATACCAGTAACTTTAGGTTTTGTCCTTTTCTCACATATTTTCTCAATCTGGACTTTATATTCCTTCTAAGATTGTGCTAACACATACCTTCATGCTTCAGAGAAGAAGACAGTCAGACTCTTGCTTCCATAGAGGTGCTCATATCCAGTGTTTATAAAAATATACATCCCATTTAATGTTCTACCATTTTTATTCCTTTTACAAATCAATCATGATCAATAAAAGTTGTCATTTTTGACAAACACAACCCTTTAAAGAAGCAGTAGTATTATCATTCATCTAATAGCACATTGAAGAAACTGTGTAAATTTCCATTGTTATAAAAATGCTATACATCTACTAAATACATATTAAAAAAATTTGACCTTCTAATTTAACGCCTTGAAACGGTGCCTCTGTCTCTTTAAGAAACTCCTGCTCTTTCTGAAACTCTTCATCACGACATGACTCCTCGCAGTTCCACCAGGTGTTTGCTAATTCCTGCTGGCTAGTTTGAATGAACTGAGTGGGGGAAGGATATGCTCTGTGAGGTGGAAGCTTGGAAACCGCAGCTCAAAGGAGGAGCTTCATCCTCGAAGGCGGAGCTAGGTCCACCCAGGCGTTTTCCCCAGCTGATTGGTTGCCATGAAGATTAAGGGATTTCTCAAACTTGCACAAAAGAATCACGACAACATTCCAGGTATGTTTTTGAAAAAGGAATAAAGAGCTAAAAAATGTTACATTAAATCAGTCATCGCATATGCGACTCCTTCGAGTCAGTATTTAGCAGAAGCTCTGAATGTGTCTCAGTGTTTTATAGGCAATGCATATTTATGACCTCACCTAAGAGGTTTTTATTTTTCATAATTGTGATATAAACAAATCAAATACAGGTTTTAAGACCCGGTGAACAAACACAGAAACAAAACAAAATGTGTAAAACAAGAAGAGCGCAGTTGATACTGTAAAGAAAGAAAGAACAATAATGTAAAATAGAGGAAAGTTACAAAGCATAACTGACTCCTAAATGTGAACTGGGTTCTTCCCATGACTGTATGTGAAGTGCAAAATAAATTGACAAAATGCAGAAAAGACAACTGGGTCAAAATGACTTTTGAGCTGTAACATTTGGAAGTGGAACATGATTTACTTGAGGTGAGCAAGTTCAAAACCAAAACAAAGAATCTCTGAATCATTTATTCTTCTCTTCTTTTAAATCCGACTGATTTGGCTCGGCCTCCTCAGACACGAGATGGGCCAACGTGAAGCCGCTGCTAAAGAGGGAACCTTCAGACTTACTCTTGCGGTTCAGAGGCGTGCCGGCAAGATAGCGGTATGTGACATTAATGGTTCCAGAGAAGTTACTGAGGTCTCTGAAGGTGTGAGCGTATCGCTCCGAGCTGGGAGGATGGACCGACGCTTCCCTGAGCTGCCTCTTATCTCCCTCCTGCAACACGAAAAGCACATTAGAACAGAAGAAAAGAAAGGCACACCAAAGAGAAGCAGCCAAATAAAAGCATGCAATTTTGAATAATTAAAAAAAAAGAAAGAAAAAAAAAAGGAAAGAACATATTTCTTGTTTTGCTCCTTATGTGTGCTTGGATGCAGTTTGGATCCACATCCAGTTTGCAGAAAACGCCCAAAATTCAAAACTGCCTTTTAAGAACTGAACTAAACACAAATTATGTGATTTTTTTCCCCCAAATTCTGATGACGTCATAAATAAACAATAAATCATTTGGCTGATTTCCTTTTGGGTCCAAGTCGTCAAGATTTCAGGACAAACTGTCGTTAAAATGTAAGTAAATAAAATGGAAAACATGGGAATAATGGAGCATTTTTCATATCATGCATCATTCATCGTGATAAATTTCTTATAACATTTTGACTTATCATTGTCATAATAAATTCCCCTAAAGCTGTACATGTTGCCCGTTTTGTTGGTACTTATTTTCTCTTCACTGTTTGTACAATGAAGGCCTATCAATAAATATCAATACATTTGAAAGTATGATTAAATGGAGTCAGATTGCTTAGTTTGGTAATATAAGTCACACTTTTTTCTATCTGGTGTCCTGAAGAAGCGTTTTACAAATAGGAATGTTTCTGCTGAAACAGAAACATTCTGTACAGTCACCTAAAAAAAAAAAAGTAGTATATACTCGTTACTGTCATTTTTATCACCATCACAATAGTATCATGACAACATGATAAAACCTCAAGTCCACATAGCCCACCCCTAATTTATTGTGTTAAGTTTCTTATCATGGGCCTCATCCAACGACTGATGGTCAAAACTCCCTAAAAAGCATTTACTCAATTAATCAATCAATCGCATGATAGATTAAAGTCAGCTTGATCGTTCCCATTCTGATGACTAACGTTGAAGGGAAATTCTGACCACAGAATTGACAAAATCCGTTTTATTTATGGTTTCGGTTGTGTTCGGTCTTTATTTCCATTTTATTTATTGTTTTATTCCATTTTATTTTGGACATTTAAAATGTCACGGAGTGCTCTTCGCAAGATTACAATTTTCCAGTCACTGAGAGGGCGAACTTGCACTGTCATGTCATGATCAATATGTTATTAGAAAATGGTCTCTAAGACAATATTATCATTTATCGCAATGATTACTGGGACAATTTATTGTTCATTGAAACAATGTATATATATTTTTATGAATGCAGTTGTGTGCAGTTTATTGATACAAATCGTTATCACAAGAGCACCATAAAATATGGTGATAAAACCTTAAGTAAATATCGCCCACCGCTTTGTGGGAACCAAAGTAAAAGACATTTGGAGTCTGTTTGAAGGGATTTGTTGAGACATGTGATCAGAAGATGGACACAAAGCGTCTCGATGAGTGAATAATACCAACGGCGGCTCTCATCACTGACCAGCACGTAGCCATCCTCGATGTAGAGGTTCAAGAAGAGGAGGAAGGTGATGAGGAAGCCGAGGAAGGGAATGGTGGAGCGTTTCCTCAGACACCTCATCTTGTCCAGGGATTTCCACACCAGTCTCATTCTCACACTGCCGTTGGGATCTGAGGGAGAAATGGTGGAGAGAAATACATCAGGATGCGACGGCTTTTACAATCTGGAGCGCCGTGTTTAAGGAAAGTGTGAGGTTAAATGACCATCCACACTCATTGAAATCATCCGCTGATCCATGTATGATCGTTGGTAGGGGAAATCTGGATTTAAACCCACAACCCTCCAGACAAGCACAACTCTGATGGCTCAACTTGCCATCTTTCTAGAGCTCTGCTGCTGGCAAAAGTTCCCAGGGCTACCTTGCACATGTGACTGACTAAATAAAGATCTTAAACAGCTGCGAACGCAACTTCAAATGCAGCAACGTACTTTATCTTTTGCTTCCCAGCGACTGAGCGTCAGGATGTGCTGCTGTTGCCTCCGAGACGCCCAGCAGAATACAAACTACATCCAAGCTCAGTTCGATGGCCATACTCGCATCGATCAGTTTCACCGAGACTCAGCTTCACCGGGGATTCGGCTTGTCAATACCTCTTTGTGCGCGCTTAAAAACTGAATTTAACATGTCCATCTTTGACTCGCCGCTCTCCGTAGGTGGGAAGTGCATGTGGATTAAGACACATGGTCTTAATGTTTTATCACATGGCAACAAATCTTCCATCTGATAAAACAATGAATAGTATACTAAATACTGCAGGATGTTAATGATGTCATCATCTAGTGTTTGAAGATCTAAAGAAAAGCCGTTTAAGCGGTTTGCTGGTCAAGAGGGAAAGGCATCGGCCGTGACCTCAGAGGAGCAACTGTTGCACAAAGTCAATCGGAAAACGGTCAGAGGGGCGTTTCCAGTTTAAAGTTCAGTCTTAAACAAAGTCAAAGATTATTCACAATTGGAAACTATTTGAGATGTCTATCAGTCTCCAGCAAATGATTCTGTTTTAATGCCTGATCGGGTAATTGCTTCTAGAAACCGTAAGGAAGTTCAGATTGCATAATTTGGTTTAATCTGTTCCTTAAACAAACATAACAGGAGCAGAGAGATATTGTGGCGTGTTGAAAATTAAACACATCAGCTCAAAAACTTCACACCAACAAACAAACACGTTGCTGAGGGCGTAGTAATTAGGGCATCTTGCACACAAACTACTCTATATTCATCCATCCAACACTGACTCCTGACATATGACAGGAATCTAAAAAATCAAAACTTAACCTGAATGAATAAAAGAGAGGTGTCTATGTTTTTTGATGGCCCAGTCAAAGCCCAGGCCTTAATCCTATTGGAATACTTGGGTTCAATCACAACAGCCCTGTTTGGTCAATCAAACTCGAGTCTGTTGTTTGCCCAGGAAGTACATGAAAGAGTTCACTTCAGAGCAGAGCAGAGCAGAGCAGAGACGGCTCCAAAATCAGGAGGGAGGCTACTGACTGTGTGCTGTCCTGTCTCTGCTCTGTGTCTCCAGGGTTCTGTAGGACTGCATTGTGACAATGAAATGAATGGTTAGGGATGTTCTGGAGGGATCCGCAGCCGGCCGAGTCATCCCGACACACCGGCGTTCAGCTCAGGCAGCGCTCCCGCTCGCCGCCACCAGGTCGACCGTCTCATGCCGACCGTCTCATGCCGACCGTCTCATGTCGTTTAGCCGGAACTCAGCCGCAGCTGCTTCCTCTCTCAGGAGACGCCACAGCCCAAATAACACTGCATGCGCGTTCGTTGAAAGTCATCTGCGATTTTATGTTGAGACAAGAACCGACCTCATAGAATCCAAGTCCTGGATGTCTATCTTAACAAAACAAGACAAAGATATGTGCCTCCTCGTTTAATAATTCAGCGCGTGCTCCGAGGAGGAAGAGCATGAGACGATGATACAGCCGGAGGCCCGGCTGGGCGGAGAAGCTCGTTTCTGCCAGCTTGGATTTCACCAGAGGCTCAGATCCACAGTGTCACGATGAACATCTCACCGTTCCTGGAACACGCCGGAATAGGGGGAAATTATGCCAATTTAAGCTGCACGGATGATGGTATGAGTTTGCTGTCGGGATGGTCGTTGTGTTTTGTGTTTACTCTTGTGGCCTGAACCCAGAGCAGTGAAATGGGCTTTGCGTGTTTTAAAGGGCCGTGTCATCGTGGGTGTCGTACAGTCTGTCACATTTCCCTGCCGTTCTTTCAGAGCGCCCTACCAGCAGGCTGGAGCTGTTATATGTCCATTATACACTCTGCTAGGCTGCATGTGTGTGTGTGTGTGTGTGTGTGTGGGTGTGTGGGGAGGGGTGTGTGTGTGAGTGTGTCTGCACGTATGAAAGAAGTGGGCTGAATACACCAAGACAATGCTTTTTTATTTCTTCTCTGCTACCAAAGAGTGAGCATTTATCTTGTATGAGTTGTCAGCTTCTTTAACCAATTCGAAAACATTTCTGGCTCTAATAGGTTTCTGTAGTGCAACATTTTAACCTCAAACTTCAATGAAACATTATTGAATTGAGTTAAACTGAACACTAGGTAGTGCAAAGACTGGAGGAAAAATGATGCATTTTATTCAGTTCCTTTAAAGATCAGATAATTCTTCATTAGTTCCGCATGTGGAAAATGTAAGCGTTGATGCCACCACATCCAATAAATAAAATTCAAAATAAATTGAATAAAATTGGGTGCACTTGATTTGTGATGCGCTACAGGAAAACTGGGAACCAGTCGGCAGAGCAGAAATGAGGAAAAACAATGAAAAACAGTAATTTCTGAGAAATATGTTTACTTATTGATTTATTTTTTATTATTTTTTTTATTTTTTGCTAAATACACCAGCTCAAGTCATGAAGAAACCACCCCAGGCTTTAAAAAGCAGTTCCAGAGATTTTAAAACGGTAAACTCTGTGTTGTAAATCTGCTTGTTTGCAGAGTAAATATGAAATTAACATCAGCTGATTAACATGCTATTAACAAAGCGACAGGTTGACCACTAGGTAGGTCAAAGATGTAAAAAAACAGAAAATAAAAAAAAAGCAACAAAGCTCTCAAATAATTCAGAAAGTACAATTAGGATTTCTAAATATAAAGTAAAATTTGCTTCATAGCAAAGTGTAGAATCAGAATGGAACATACAAATATTGATATCAGATTGGTGCATCTCAATAACTTTATTGGCTGGTCACACCCAAGCTGTCTGAAATTTCATCTACATTAGTCAACAAACAGTCAAAGTTCAGTCTAAATCCTAATGAGATGATGCAGAACAACTCGCAAACTGTTCTGCACGGATGCAGAAACGGTCTGGACAAAAACATATCTGTAGATACGAAGCTGCTCCTCAAAATAGTGAAAGGTGCTTCTATGAATTATTGGTGTTTGTAGTTGTAACATGGCAAAATAGGAACGATATGTATGAGCACTTTATTAATAAATCCTACCAGGCTATCACTTTAAATAGATAAACACTATGCAACATAAATTAAGCGTATCAACCAAAAAGATCTTTATTCGGTTTGTTTTTGTCATTGCAACTAATTTTCAACTTGTTGAAGATTTTTTGTTGTTTTTAAAGCCTTGTGGTGTATAAAGTCAATACACTCCTGCTGTGTGTGTTCGCTTTAAGGATGTATTGTCACGCTACACTAGCGTTCTTTGTGATAAGTGTTTTCGAGATGAGACGAGATAATAAATCCATAAATAATAATGAAAACAAACAAACAAAACAAACAAAAGAAAAACCTGGTCCAGAAATCCTCCAAGGAAAACATCACCTGTGAGGATCCCAGGCGGTGCTGTGGGGGTTTGGAAACGGCCCCGAGCCGTAAAGCTTCCCCTCATCAGTCCCCGACATCAAAGCAGGCTGAGAGTTATGCTGCTGTGCGACACGCCAGGACCCGAGGGAGACACGATGACGAACAAGGGAAATAACACCGAGACTCGACCGAGTGCGGAGATGAATTCATGTTCCCTGAGTAGCAGTAGAATAATTAGCTGCACACACTTTATTACACTGAAGTCATTTTTCAGTCAACCGAACAGTCCGCGGTCATATCTTCAAACAATCACGTTGAGTATTTTTAACACTTGTTGCTGTCCGGTAAAGCAGCACTTATACTAATTTCAGATTCTAGCTTAAGCTTTCTTCACGGCGAACAGCTAGCCAGTTGCTGCAGTTTCACAGTGTTTACTTATCATTTGAATCTCATCTGTCCCAGACTGTTGCCACACCAAAGATTTACAGCGAGTGAAGGATTTAGTGCTTTTTGCTAGCTTAGCTTTTTTTTTTTGGAAAACTCAGCTAGCTGAGAGACTCTGTTGGTTTTGGCCTGTCATAAAAACACATTTTACTGCACTTAAAAGTAGTTCTTCGGAGTGCTATCAGGTGTTTGCTGATTGCTACTGGCTAGTCTAAAGGAGCTGAGTAGGGGAGTCTTGTGCTCTGAATGGAAGAAGCTCATTAGCCTGGAAACTGCAGATCTGTGGAGGAGTTGTGCCTTGAAGGCAGGTCTCGGTCCACCCAGGCCATTTGCACAGCTGAATGGTTGCCACCGGTGATTCAAGAACCTCTCAAATATGCAGGACAGAATCAAAGCAACACTCCAGGCATGCTTTTGATGAGCGAATAACATAATGCAGAGCAAACCTCGAAAAAGTCCATTTTACTTCGTATCGCCCCATTTAATTCACATAAAATTCACGCAGAATGTTTGTTTGTCCTCTCTCATGGTTCTCTTTTATTTACCCAGACCAATAGCTTCTCTGAATTTCTCCTCAATGTCGTCCTTCCTTTACTGGCCGTGAATATTAGATAAGTGGTTCAGGAATCTGCTTTCTCCGCTGCAACATCCTCCTCTCTTAACGGTGAAACCTGATGGAGGCAGACTTCAAATGGGAGGACAAGGGGCTCCCCTGTGCAGGGAAGGCAATTATGTGGTCAGGGGGACGGTGTGTAACCGAACACCAAGCTTTCTATACAAGACACACAACACAAAACAAAACGTAAGACCTGCTTCCCTCTCCATTTGTAATGACTGCGCAGCTGCAGAGTGGCAGCGGTCCTCCTGCACAACAACTACATGCAGT